TTTCCTTTCCATATAAAGTTAGTGATTGGTTTTTCCATATCCCTAAAGAATGTTGATGGGATCTGGATTGGGATTGAATTGAATGTATAGATTGCTTTGGGTAGAATTGACATTGAACATTTTCACAATGTTCAATCTTCCCATTCATGAGCATGGGATATTCTTCCATTTGTGTCTTACGGTTTCTTGAAGTAGTTTTTAAAAACTTACTTTTACTTAAATTAATTTCTTGTATAAAGGAGCTCTGGTGGCATAGCAGTTAAAGCATTCAGCAGCTAACCAAAAAAGGTTGGTGGCACAAATTCCTCAGACACTCCATAGGAGAAAGATGAGGTACAGTCTGCTTCCATAAATATTTACAGCCTTGGAAACCCTATGGGACAGTTCTACTATAGGATCGCTATGAGTCAAAATTGACTCAATGGCAGTGGGTATTTACTTAAATAATCCTTGTCACAGAAAATAGACATGATAGTATAAAAATAATGTTAAGGACTTTGGGGGTAGGTGGGTTGTGGCACACAACGGAAGCAGAGGAAGCATTTTAAATATTAGAAAACTCTTCACTGGCAACATTTATATACCACTATTCTTGCCTAAGTTATCTGACTGCTCACCAGAAGGCTGGCAGTTCAAACCCACCAGCCAGTCCTCGGAAGGAAGATTGGGCAATCTACTTCCATAGACACGGCCCTGGAAACCCAAGGAGGGGTCACTATGAATCAAACTGACTCAATGTCAGTGAGTTGTTTTTTTTATTTTATTCTTATCTAGTGAAATGAAAATTCCTCAGACAGTGTTTGGTGAAACATCCAAGTTTCAGTCTAAAAGCTCTTAAATGCACAAACTATGATATTTGTTTTAAAGTGTTTTAGAATTCAAACTTACATTCTCTCCATTAATTCAAAGCATAAAGTTAAAGATATAGCACTAAATGGAAATGGGGCCAGTACTGCAAAAGATACCAAGTGAGATTTTCTTCTTTCTCTTCTGGATAAGTATAAAGCTGCTCTCTTATTATTATTTTTTATATTTTACCAAAAATTAAAAGCAAGATGTTAGACAGACTAACCACAGCCAAATTTCTGTTAAAGACTATGCAGAGGATCAGTGGATGAGCTGGAACATTCCCAGGGTAGAAAGAGCCACTGAATTCTGGAAATCATTCATGTTGACTCAGTCATGAGGTTAATCTATATATAGACTCATAAGCAAAGAGTGACTCAAATACTATTTGGGTTGTTTTAAATATTACTAATGAAAGAAACTAACAAAAACTCTAAAATTTAGGATAAGTTAGAATAGGCAGTAAATTAAGAGCTAAAATTTTCCTAGAAAATATATACATACTTCATAAAAAAAGCAGTTTAGATCTGCAGAGTACAGAATGAGAAAATAATATAAAATACATGACAATTAAAGACAATAAATGCAAAACCAAATTGAAGCTATTGGTTAAATAGCAATCCTAAATTTTAAGATAACTGAAAAACAGTGAATACTTACTTATCGTCCCTTTCTAGACATTTGACTAGAATAGGTAAGATCCCAGATTTTATTAGGTCATCAATTGGTGGGTTTCTGTCACTGGATAACAGCTTTCTAGAAATAAAAAGACAAGAAATTAATTGTTACACTTTTCAAACTGTGAATAGAAATAATGATGTAGTATTCTGGTAGCATAGTACCTTAGGCATTTGACTGCTAATCAGAAGGCTGGTGTTCAAACCCACCTGCCACTCCTCAGAAGGAAGATTGGGCAATCTTCTTCTGTAGTGATACTGCCTTAGAAACCCAATGAGGGGTCGCTATGAGTCAGATCTGACTTGACGGCAGCGAGTGGGGTTTTTTGGTTTGACTACTCAACTATCAGCTAAGACACCTAGGAGTGACATCCTTCTCTTGTGGACAAATTATTAATTACCTTGCAGCCTGGACAGCACTCAACTGGACCACTGGGTTATCACTTGTGGCATTCTACAACACCAAATATAAATTTCAGAAATTAAAAAAAAAAAAAAAAAGAAAAATCAATTTCAAAAGATTTTAAAATGAGAATATTAAATTAATAACATACCTGCAATATAGCTTCTAGTGTTACATTTTGCTTAAAGAGAAAAAAAAAGTTCATCAAAAAGTTTATTAGCAAAACTGCAATTTATTAAAAGTCTATCTGCTAAAGTTAGAATTACCTTAATTACTAATATACCTCAATTATTATCCTAAAATTTGTCTTACATTATTAACAATGAAGTTCTCTTAGTTATTACAAAAATTATTTTAAGGACACTATAAGAACAAGGTAACTTACTGCTTTAAAATCAGCATCAATATCTGAATCTTCTAAACTTTCTTCTTGGGGAACATTTCTCTTTTTCAGTAAGTGTTCATCTCTTTTGTTCTGAAAAGTAACAAATGGTTAAGAAGTCATGATGACTGTTCTTAATGAAAAATCTATTAAAATTATTTCAGCTTCATTAGGCAATTATAAAACAAATACTCAATTTCTACATAAGGATAATATTGATTAAATATACATTTTGCAAACCAATGACAAGGCTACATTCTGGTTTTGGCAACAAAATTAACTTGTTTATGGTCCAGCTGTGACACATACACATAAAAAATATATTATAATAACCTAAGTGCCCATCAGTGGATGAATAGCATACATGATAGTACAAAACGGAATACTACATAAAGATAAAGAATAATGATGCATATCTACAAAACATCTCACCAATATGGATGAATTTGGAGGACATTATGCTGTGTGAAATAAGTTAGTCAGAAGAGGATAAATATTGTAGAAGACCACTATTAAACAAAACAAGAGAAGGTTTACAGGAAAGCAAAAAACATTCTTTGATGGTTACCAGGGATGGGAGGGATGAGGGAGGGAAAATTCTTACAACTGAATCAATAAGCAGCATCATGAAAAATGGAGAAAAGACTAAAATTGTCAAAGATTTGATATTACTTGGATCCACAATCAACACCCATGGAAGCAGCAGTCAAGAAATCAGATGCACTGGGCAAACCTGTTGCAAAACACCTCTTTATGGTGTTGAAGAGCAAAGAGGTCACTTTGACAACTAAGGTGCACCTAATCTAAGCCATGCTATTTTCAATTGCTTTATATGCCCGTGAGGGAGCTCTGGTAGCATAGCGCCTAAGGCACTTGACTGCTAACCAGAAGGCTGGTGGTTCAAACCCACTAGCCACTCATCAGAAGGAAGGTTGGGCAATCCTACTTCCATAGTGATACTGCCTCAGAAACCCAAGGAGGGGTCGCTATGAGTCGGGGCCGCCTCGACAGCATATAACAACAACAACAAAAATATGCCTGTGAAAGCTGGGAAGACTGAAGAAGAGTTCATGTTTTTGAATTGTGTTGGTGAAGAGTACTGAAAATACCATGACTGCCAGAAGAACGAACAAATCTGTCCTGCAAGAAGTGCAGCTGGAATGCTCCATGGAAGCGAGAATGCTCAGACTTTGTCACACCTACTTTGGTCACATTGTCAGAAGAGACCATTCCCTGGAGAAAGATATCATGGTTGGTGTTAGTTGGAGCTGTGTGTCAACTTGGCTGGACCACAATTCTGTAGTTTAAACTATTGTGATGTGGTTATTCCCATGATGGGATCAGATGATTATGTTCTGAGCAGGCAACTGTTGAAAGGGAGTTTCCCTAGGGGTGTGGCCTGCTTCCAGTGTATCTATGGACATTCCGGGAAAAGAGACATTCTTCTGTGGATCGGGATTCTGCTGTGCTGCCTACAACTATCCGTGAGTGAACAATTCACCATTCAGCCTGGAGATCTTGGATTCGTCACTGGTTGGAGTCAACAGCCGATAATACTGCCTGGCAGCCTTGAACTCCTTAGCCCCTGCGGCTGCAAGAGTCAGGAAAAGCCTCCAGCTTGATGTTTGATCCAGGAACTTTGGACTTGCCAGCTTCTGTAAGTGTGTGAGCCATTCTCCTAAGATAAATTTCTCTATATATACATATAGATATATAAGCTTTACTGGTTTTGTTTCTCTAGAGTACCCAGTCTAACACAGTTGGTAAAGTGGGGAGTCAACAAAAATAGAACACCCTCAATTAGATGGATTGACACAGTGGCTGCAACAATGGGCTCAAGTATAGTAAGGATTGTGAGGCTGGCACACGACTCAGCAGTGTTTCATTCTGTCGAATATAGGGTCACTATGAGTAGGAGCTGATTCAACGGCAACACAGTAATTACTGTAACACAGATAACCCTGCAACAACAGTGTTAACAAACAATAATTTACAAATTGATACACAGGTGTATAAGGTGCTCTGGAGGTATACTGATGCAGTGTAGCAAATTACCTGGTATAGCTTTTCTAGCCATAAATCTTTGTAAACTCCATGGTGGAATTTGCCATGAGTGACTGAGAAGCTCCTGATTGTTAAAGTTATACACCTGGGGTATTTCTGTTATGGGTGGCACAAAGCAATGTTCTGGGAAGTTTGCTCTCAGGTGTTTAGAATTCTGACGTTGTGATCGGTTAGTTGGCCACTCTGCCAGGCTCAAAAGGAGCCCTATTAGAGGCAGAAGGAGTTTCTCTGACTGCTGGCTGTGAATGACATGCTGCTGAGAGAAACACGCTCCTGAGAGACATGTGCTGCTGAAAAAGAAATGCCAAAAGACACGCATTGCTGAGAGACACGCACTGCTGGGAGAGAGACTGAAAGAGACTGTTGGCTGAGACAGCAGGCTGAAAGAGATTGAACGTTGTTCCTGAACTTGAATTGTAGCCTGGTGCTTCCCTAATAAACCCCATAATCTGTGAGTTCTGTGTGGCCACTTCAGCTAAGTATCCAATCCAGCAGAGAGGTGGTGGGTGCTTCAGGAGGAACGGTTGGTGTCAGGACTGATGAAAGGGCTGGAGGGAGGCAGCATGTTTGGCCTTGCAGGGATAGGCCTTGGGCTGCTGATGGTGATTCCATCTTCCTCTTGGGGGATTAGAGGAGGTCAGAAGATGTGGCCTCCTTGCCCCTTTGGCAACTGTTTAAGGCATTTGGCTGCTAACCAAAAGGTCAGTGACTTGAATCCACCAGCTGCTCCACAGAAGAAAGATGAGGCAGATAGATACACTGAAGAGGTGTGGAGCGTAAGGCTGCACATCCACCTGCAGATACAGATTTGGTTGTAGATATTTCTATACACATGACTGTAAGTGCTCCATGTATATTAATATTGACAGACAACAGAATAATAGAGCACATAAAGGGCATAGTCGTGGAAACTTTACAGACATAATCGAACACCCTGTGGGACAAAGTTCCTAGGCTTAAAGGTGAGGAACCGTAGACTTTGCAATGCCTGTGTCAAGTGGCACAATAGAGTTCATAAAAAACAGTATTTTATATTTTAGTTTGGTGAGCTGCATCTGGGGAGCCTGAGGGCAACCATTTAAGACACAACTATTGGTCTCTTCCCATCCACAGAAAAGAAGAGTAAAGAAAACCAAAAACTCAAGGAAGCCATCAGTCCAAAGGATTAATGGACCACATGACCCATAGCCTATATGACCCTGAGACCAGAAGAACTATATAGTGCCTGGCTACCACTACTGATCACTTTGACTAGAATTAAAAAGCAGATCCCAGACAGAGTGGAAGAAAAATGTAGAAAAAATGAAATTCACAAAAAAGCCCAGATTTACTGGTCTGACAGAGACTGGGGGAAACCCCAAGATCATGGCCCTAAGACCCTTCTGATTTGGAACTGAAGCCATTCCCAGATACCACTCTTCAGCCAAACAATAAATAGACAGGCTACAAAAAGGGTAGAGGGGCAGCTCCTCTGACCTTTAATTTCACAAGGAGGAGACAAAATCAAGAACAATATCAATAGCCCAATGCTAATTCTCATAAGGCTAAAGTTAGACATGCCGCCATCCTCCAATCTTTTTGCCAGTTCTGACACCAGCTATTCCTTCTACAGCACTCACTACTTCTCTGCTGGGTTTGATAATTTGTTGCAGTGACCACAAAGGACTCAAAAGCAATGTAATTATGGGGTTTATTAGGGAAGTAACAGGTTACAATTCATGTACAGGAACACTCAGGATACAATTCTTTGATCATGGCAGCCTACCCTTGGCCATGGCCTCAGGCATGCCTCTCTTTGGCCCTCGGCCTCTTGGCAGCACTCCTTTGCAAGTGTTACAAAGCTCTTTTAACTCTGCTGATAAGTGTGCCTAGGTGCACCCCACTCTGCCAGCAAGCCTCCTGCCCAAATGCACTCAGCTTTCTTGTACCATGGGCTGGCAAGCCCCTCTGCTCTGTCTCATGCCAGTTTTGGTTCTGCTGTCTCTGCTGGTCATTTCAGCACAGGGCTCTCCAGTCTAGGGATGCACTCCACTCCTGGCTTCTCTTTCTTGATGGCAGTGAAATTCCCCTTTTCTGCCTCTGGGATAGCTCATTTTAAGCCAAGCCAAGATGGCAAAACTGACTAGTTCTCACATTAAGATTCCATGTGCCTTATTTGTATAGTCCCACCCCTACAAGGGGGTCTTCTACCTTACTTACATTACTAACAAGCTACCCAATCCCCTAGGTAGGCCACAAAGCAACTCACATTTGCAGTCACATCCAGTCATCTGGTGGATGTCACAAAGACCATGGCTAGAAGAGCCATACCAAGTAATTCACTGTATCACATAGCCCCATAAAATAAATTTTAACACCTGAGAGGAACGTATCCCTTAGATCAATTATATGAGATCAAGAGGACATCACCTGCCCAAAAGCAAAGATGAGATGGCAGGAAGGAACACAAAATCTGGACAAAAGGAAAAGTTGAACCCAAGAAGGGAATGGGAAGAGTGCTGACAGATCGTGGGGAATGCATCCAATGTCAAAGAACACTTTATGTACAAACTATGGAATGAGAAACTAATCTGCTCTGTAAACTTTAACATAAAACACAGTAAAAGATTTAAAAAAAAAAATTATTAGGCACCAACTGTCCTGACCAAAACTCTTCTGATCTTTAGTGAAGATTCAAATTTGGGGATATAATATTACAATAAAAACCTAACAAATACGCTCCAATTAGTATGCTAGCTTTCACCTCCTTATTGTTAATGCCTATTGTGGTAGTTAAGGTTATGTGTCAACTTGGCTGGGCCTGGTTGAGTGGCTGGGCAGTTGGTGGTAGTTATTCCCCATGATGACACTGGCAATTAACTCCATGGTGGGCTCTACCACAAGCAGCTGAATAGCTACTCTAGGGATGTGGTCTGTTTCCCGTGTATAAGCAGGAGCTTTGAGAATGGTCTATAACTTACAGCATGCTTGAACCCTGCGTGTAGCCAAGTCATCGTTCAGCAGCCTGCCATGCTCTGCTGATCTTGGGT